ATTTAAATTGTAAATAAAAAGAATCCATATATTTATTTTTAATAATAGGTGTGTAAAAAAGAACGCAAGAAAAAAAAAATAAAGTTTTATACTGAATATATAAACTAAGAAGGAAAAAGAATCGATAAATAAAATAGTACTAAAGTTAAAAATAAGTATGATAAATGAATTAACCTGGGCCTTGTATGGGAGAGATTAAAATCGGATTAAAATTGAAAATATAGCCGTTATTGTTGACTTTTATTAGACGGATGGGGCCCAATAACGACCATATTTTCAATTTTAATTGGATTTTAATCACTCCCGAACGGGGCCTTAATCTACATGATTTGCTAAAAGTCCATTCCTAAGGTGGAGGCATAACAGTTGTTCTCCAAGTTCGAGGCTATCATCATGTTAGAACTTAGGTTTTTTAGATTGCGCTGTCTGCGCCCGATATACTCAGACTTGGTCTTCTCTAACTTTGAAAATTGTCATCGATACTATCATAAGTCGTTTTGATCTTTGTGCTTTAATCTAAGTTTATGGACCCATTCCTAAGCCTCGACCCATGCTCCGCTTAGATCTTACCAAAAAAAAAACCTTATTTTTACTGCTTTGAATAATCAATTGTCAATCTTAAAATTTACCTATATACGTATAAATATAATTTTTCAAGCTTAGCTCAACATGAACTTATTTTTACTGCTGAGAATAATTAAAGTATCTCTATTCACACACTTGACAATGACATACGCCCATATATCTAAATTTCAGATATGTCCAAAGGACGTTAAGGTTCAATATATCGAAATGAAAAGAGGGTTTATCCAGATGTACCGAAGGGGGGTGACCGAATGGTGTCGACCCCTCCCCCCCCCAACAAATGCGGCGGGCCCCATGTTTTAAAAAAAAATGAGGCTCGTGGTCCCCACTCTCAACTGTGAGTGGGGTGTAAAAGATTAGGTAAAAAATTATGTACATGTAGCATAACCCATCAAAAAATATTCTTAATTCAAATATTTTCGTTAGTTTACAGATGAGACTATTCGACACCTCGATTATAATCTCAAGTCTTATTTTTATTTATTTATTATGGAATCAAAATAGAAATATGTAGTAAGTCCCATTTTAAGCTTTTAGATGAAATTGTTATCACACTTCAACATGAATTTTTTATCTCGGATTGTTTACGCAATGGCTAGCTCTGTACCTCTCTATCTATATATACAAGACAAAAAGCGCATTTAATTTTCATATGCCGCAGGATTTTTTACATGATAAAAAATTAACGAAAACCAAAGAAGTGAAGAAGGAACATATGATTGTTTGCTGAAATTGAATGGAACAGGAAATACAGTATTGCCACTTTTTTTTTTTGTTGATTTAGGAATAGAATTTCAATTCTGCAGCTCAAGTGGCATATTCTAGCATGAACTGCACTGTGGGATCGACGATGACTTTTACTAATAAATAACACGATTCAACATGATATAGTCAATAAATTAACCAACAAAGGATCAATAGGGTAAACAGTATTGATTCTGTCAACTTAGATCTGCATCAGCTGTTCAAATGTTTTCATGGCAGGAGCAGGCAATCCAAGAAGAACGTTGATGCTTTTCCTTTCTTTTCCATGTGAAAGAAAGAGAATTACTTCCTTTTCGGGCAAAACTACAGGCCCTGATAGCACGGGCTCTCCCCAGCCGAAATCTGTAGTGTGGAAAGATAGCCTCGACCATGTAGTAATCAGCAGGGTTGCTGTCAAAGAAGGCCTAGCTCGAGTTGCCTCGAAAAAGTCTATAGCAGATCTCATATAGCCATCTGTCACCATTTTCACTGCCTCTTGAACTAGTTTTACTGTGAACGAAAATGGATTGTCCACTAATTCACCTGCCTTGCAGAGTGAATTTGTTAACACAATTGCATTGCCAAAGTATCCTTCTGGAATTGGGGGCTCGAATCTAGACCGTCCATCGACAGCAAAGAGAAGCTTTGTTTGTTGATCCGGCTTCATATTTAATGCCTCACTACGAGCTTTCCATACGTATGCTGAGAGTGCTTCGAACGTG